CAAGTGACTTCAGGGATTTAACTGCTCGTGTATTCCCCAACCCACGACAGTTATAGCATAGAATACGCATTAATTACTAGAAGGGGATAGGTTCCCCGCACCATTTGATTTTGAACCCCCCGATGCCGCAGTCTCAACTCTCTTCTCTTTGGCCGCTTTAGTTGCATTAGACATTTTGTGACCTTTCTTTGTACCGTATTTCTCTACATCCTGTACCTTGGTAGTACCGCCACCTTGCCCACCCTTAGCTATCAAAATTTCCTTAGCTTTAGCAATTTCATAACTCCCCTTGCTACGATTGACCACAACACCCTCCACTTTCTCCTTTTGCTTTTGTAACGAGCTTTTCAACCCCATCTTCTCATGTACTTCATCTTTATTAGCTCTTGTTCCCTGTTCCAACTCCTGCTCACTCTCGGTAGTTTCTTATTCCAGTAACACTTCAAACTTATTTTTGCTCACTTGTCTTGACTCCTCCTTGGTATTTTGAGGCAGCACCTTCTCACGCACTATGGTCCGTTGAGGTCGTCAATCTTTCCGCTGAACAATCATCCAATCACCATAAACTTGACCTTTTGTCCGATTTTCCATTTGCGTTTCCGGCACAACTTCCGGCGTTGAGGCAGTCTCCTCATTAGTTATCACTTTGCAACTACACAAGTGGGTTGGCATTCCATACTTTCCACAATCAGTACAAAGATTATCCAACCCTTCATACTGAACCAGGTATTCCTCTCCCTCGATTTTATATTGAGAGAGCAATGGTTTTGTCAGGTCCACCTCCACGCATACCCGAGCGTACCTGCCTCTCTCGCCAAATTCAGTAGCTCTATGCACTCTTATAGGTTTCCCGATAAAAGACGCAATCTTCATCACTGCTTCTTTATTAAAAAACTCTATCGGAAGATCCGGAAGCTGGGTCCAAACCATGTCTGACCTCACCTCTGACCTCCACGGGTTAAAACCTTTATACCAGCGCGTCACAGTTAGATACGTGTCCCCTAGTAGCCAAGATCCCCCGTTAATGGCCGCTTCATAATCAGCTTGATGGCGGAACCTCACTAGGAAGCATCCATTCTTCATGTCCGAGATCTGGAGTTCCCCATGCTTGCCCCATAGGTTGTTCAGTCGTTGGGACAAGGGTAAGAACGGAACGCGCCGCCCTAGCCCTTTGACTACTAGCGCTGATCGCCACTCTCGTCGCCACCTAATCTTTTCTGCCGCCGTGAAAGGAATTGTGGGACAGTTAGGGTTTTGTTCAATACCGTCGCACTCATCATCTTCTTCCTTCTCAGCTTGCATCGTATCCACAATATTCGACTCTGCTATGTACCAGCCTTCCTTCTGTCGGCTTTCTTCAAAAAGCTTCCGTCCACCTCCCCCAACCCAAGCCGAGTTGTGAGGATTCTCCGGAGTATTCCGGATTGCCTCTGTTTCCATCTCCTCTCCCCCTTGTGCATCCTCCAGCCCTATTCCCTCTTGAGCAAGGTTAAACGCACGAGGGCGCTTCTTCACCTGAGTGGTTTCTTTAGAATTCTTGTGATTCGATGAGGATGTGGTTTCCGCAGGCCGCCTGCTACCACTTAGAATATCCGGTGGCTTATTCAGCCCAGCAAGCAACGTCGACGGCTTCACCGTCGCCATGCAGACTCGCAGATCTCCGCCTTCTCGCTGAATCGCCTTGTTTCCCTAGCTCCGAAAAAATAGCTCTTACGCGGTTTTAACAATCCCTCAACTAGATGTGCTTGACTAAGGCATTGGTATTACTAGTAGGCTGCGCGTTCCGCAGCGCGATCATCTATTTAGTATAATATTTGTTTACCATATAAAATAATAGAAAGGATATATCGATTCAACACTTAACATTTCATAATCAAATAAAAAAAATGTGCATCTTCGTGTAAGGGCAAAAAATCGGCCATTGAATAAGCTTTCGTCATGTCTTATGCTTTTCTTGTTACAATTTTCTCAAAACTGTAAAGGAAAATAGAGTCGCGAAAAAAAATATGGTAAAACAGATTTGGTGATTCAAAATGGTGAAGGAAAGTGAACCTCACATGCTAGTGTCGTCCACGATAGAAAAACTGAAAAAGAGACACATTTCGTAAAAGAAATTAAAAAACAACGTCGTGTGACCTCCAACCCGGTAACCTTGCAGCGGGTCGACCAAGCGGGTGTGTGTGACCCATTTTTCTAAGCGGATCAAGGTCAACACTTAACATTTCATAATCAAATAAAGAAATGTGCATCTTCGTGTAAGGGCCAAAAACCAGCCATTTAATAAGCTTTCGCCATGTGTTGATGCTTTTCCTTTAACAATTTAGCCAAATTGTAAATGAAAATAATGTCGCGGATAAAATGGTATAACAATTTTGGCGATTCAAAATGGTGAATGCAAGTAGATTTCACATGCTAGTGCCCTAGACGATGAGACGGGTAATGTAGTTGGGCGGGAGGTGAATGATCTTATATATATATAGCATACTATGCTCCTGGAGCATACCAGTTGTCTCCATATAAACAATACATATATATATGCAGACGACTGGTATGCTCCAGATGATCTGACCGTTAGATTTACATGGATTAGCTCCGGCCAATCTTAACGAACAAACTTTGGGTTTGGGATTAGAAAATCGGGGCCTGGGGATTATCCATTAGAGGTTAGGGTATCGTATAATACCCCAAACTCGGTTTATATCATGGTCTAGATAGAGACATCTCACTATGAGTACATGGAGCATAGTATGCTCCAAGAGCACACGAGTGTGACCCATATATATATATGGCAAAGGCTAACGTACGCCCTACCGTACCCTAGCCTACTGTAAACCATATAAATATATATGGGGAGTTCTACGGTACCCAGGGTGAAATCCGGGGTACCGCATACTTTGAGTGAGAAAACGCTATCCCAAACTTGAATTGACTAATCTTTCGGACATGATACTATACTCTAAACCTTAAAGATCAAAATCTAGTTCTTAGTTCTCTAAATCTTATACCCCAGGATCAATTTAATTAGAAACAATAATCGACAGTTATGATTCGTCCAAATATAGGCAAAAAAATCAATGCACCATCTTAGGGTTTATAGTATATGATTTAGATAATTAGGACCTAGGGTTCACTCATTAAGGGTCAGGTGTAGTATCATGCCCAAAAATTCTGCTAATTCGAGGTCTAGATAGCCTTTTCATACTCAACATTCATTGTGTGAAAACTTGCAGAGACGACTTCAGTAACCTTAGATGAGCTATATTGCTTTTATTTGGGAACACGATCCGAAATATTGTGGGTAATGGGTGGTCATTGTTTTCTCACTATCCAACCCGAACTCGCCCGATTATATACATGCATATGTAATTTATTTAGAAATGAGTATTTTCTCAGTAAAATTTATATTTAGCATACAAATATAATATTTTCATGATATTGTGTTCTTTGAAATTAATTTTGTTCATTCTAGTGAATTACTATCGTACTTTTTCAGTTATGTAATGTGAGTATATGTGTAAATGTTAACATGTTGGTTGAAGTTATAAAGAGAAATTATTACCCATGGATAACCGTGGATATCTGAAACCCGATGGAGTATGAGCACAAATTTGATTTTTGCCCGATTTATATGTGGTATCCATGGGATATCCGAAACGCATGTAAATGTTGACATGTATGTTGAAGTTATAAAGACAAATTATTACCTATGGATAATCGTAGATATCCAAAACCCGAATGAGTATGAACACGATTTTGATGTGGGTATGAGTATGGATGAAACCCGAACTACTTTGGGTTGGGTAACGGATATGCACTATCCGCCCCTGCTCCGACCCGTTGTCATCCCTAGAAATGGTTTTTTAGAGGAAGAGTTGGGTGAATGGGAAGAGATAGAGAATGGAGATGGAAAATTTTAGAGTCCACCATTAACCCTCATCTCACTTGTATGATCGGGCCAACAGACTAAACCGGGTTGATAACCTTGGAAGGAGGGGGAAGAATTGATGCGAAAATTTTTGAAAGGAAAGAAAAATACAAAAACAATATAAATGCTATTAAAATATTAATCAGTTGTTAAATAATTTTTAATTTATAAAAAACTCCATTTGATAGGACACTAACAAATAGTTTTTTGAAATAATTCTTTTTAATATCTTAATTAATAATATTCTGCTGCCTACCATAATCTGAAGGGAACCTCAAGACCCAGTTGCAAGACAACGATTGGTAATTGAACTTTTACAGATTTACTGTCGTAAAGTCGATTTGAATGTTGAGTTGGGTTTGTGTTTCTTTTAGGTCTGTTCTTTCAGCTCAGCGAGCATATATGCAATTCGTCAGACTCCATTTCTGTCTTTTTTCTGCGTGCAAAAATGTTTCTGGTTTTAGTGCTAGATTTTTTTTTCTGTTGTGAGTATGGAATCCTTGGGTACGCGTTATACGTCCCGTACTGGTAATGGGTACCCGTTAATCTGTACGGATTTGAAACTTTGGATGAAATTTCCCCTTTAAATGTGACTAGGTACCCATTTCAAACAGGACGGGGATCCAATCCCGTCCTGTTGCCCAACAAAACCCACTAAGCATAATAAAGCAATTCAACTAAAAAGAAAAACATAATGAAGCATTAATTTGTACCATTCTGATACATGGACTGCTTCATCTCCTCTTACCCGTCGATTACAGCACACCTACACAGAGGAAGGTTCTGCTATAATGATTGTAGTGAAGAAGCACCGATGCTTCGGCTTCGTTTATTGCATTCATTTTAGCCGTCCCCTTACCGTTTTCGAATTAACATTATTATTATATCATAGGATTTGCAATCATGGAGCACGTCCGTCCACCGTTCTGGAATAAATAATCAATTATCAGAATTTCCTGTTTGACTTATTGGACATGGGATTAGTCTGCAGTGCCCGCCAGCTGCTGATCCGCGCTTTCAACAGCTAATACAATTCGACCTGCTCCTTATATAAGGCAGTGCCCAAAACCAAGACTTACAGCATCGATCAACATTCAACTTTCAAGCATCAATCTTCTCTCTTCTCCTCTCTTACTCTCTGTTTCTTAAACTTGTTAGTTTCACCACGAGATGGCGCCTCTGTTTTTGGCGATATTAGTGTTGTTGGGTCATTTTATGGCGATCTCAGAGGCCAATTTCAACCAGCATTTTGACGTGACTTGGGGCCATCACCGCGCCCAGATCAAGGACGGCGGCCAGCTCCTGACGCTGTCACTGGAAAAGGATTCCGGAGCAGGATTCCAGTCCAAGAACCAGTACCTCTTTGGCAGAATCGATATGCAGATCAAGCTTGTCGCTGGCAATTCTGCTGGCACCGTTACCACTTTTTATGTGAGTAATGAATGCATAGCGATTTTTCATTCTACTCCAATAAGATCACTTCCAATTCATATACATATAGTAAACGGATTCATTTCCTGCAATCGGCTGGAATATTGAACATTTCTTTTTTTGCCTGTCCCTGTGCAGCTATCATCCCAAGGACCAAACCACGATGAAATCGACTTCGAGTTTCTGGGAAATTCCTCTGGCAATCCTTACACTCTTCACACCAATGTTTTCAGTCAGGGAAAAGGTAACCGGGAACAACAATTTCATCTTTGGTTCGACCCAACCACCGCTTTCCACACCTACACTATCCTCTGGAATTCCCAACGGATCATGTAAGTCGTCATTTTAAACTTCTTTGGTTGGAGTGCTATATGTAACGTGCGTAACTTGAGGAATTGATCTTTGTTCAATGTGTATCCGCAGATTCCTAGTGGACAACATACCTATAAGAGTGTTCACGAACATGGAATCACAGGGAGTTCCGTTCCCTAGTAAGCAGCCAATGAGCATTCACTCCAGCTTGTGGAATGCGGATGACTGGGCTACCCAAGGAGGGCGGGTGAAGGCTGATTGGGCCAAGGCTCCTTTTGTGGCTTCTTACAAAAATTTCAAAGCAGAGGCGTGCATCAGGAACCCACCGTCCGCCTCCTCTACTTGTTCTCCGGGAGCTTGGCAAACTCAAGGATTGGACGCCGCTGGTCGGAATAGAATCCGATGGGTGCAAAGCAAATATATGATCTATAACTATTGCACTGACCTTAAACGGTTCCCTCAGGGTGTTCCCTATGAATGCAAACAGTCTAGGTTCCTCTAAAGCATCAACAAATGGAGCCGAGCCGACACACAACAGATCATCAATTATATTCAATTAATTCTTTATTTATTGTAATTATTTCATCACATAATTCTTACCTGTATGAATGCAACAATGGATTGTAAAGATATTCTTATTTGTTTATGAATTAAAGCCTGAATTTATTCTTCAAGAGGGGCTTTGTAGTCCAAATTTTCACTTACTACACAATAAACAATAGAGCATGGGCATTCTAATTAGCACTAAACAAACACCCAAGTTTCGACCCCGCTTACGGGGAATGAATCAGGTCAGTATCCCTATGGTTAGTAACCATGAGTAAGCTGTTCACATCAGCATGACATCAGTATCCTCTCTCTCTCCTGGAAAGTCTTTTATCTATTCCCCATTAATCTTTAACAGACGATTTCTCTCTCGTTTTAACTTGAATTTTTTTTTTTTTTTGCACAGATAAATCAGATTAAATGTATTCTTTAAAATGATATCAACTTTGATATATTTTTAGTACAAAAAAATTGAATAATTTTTTACCAGTCATTACCATTTGGTATTAAAGATGGTATGAATAATTTATACCATTTGGTAAGAAAACATATCATGATGGTATGAACATACCAATATCGTAAGAAGGTTGAATACATAATAATAATAATAATAATAATAATAATAATAATAATAATAATAATAATAATAATAATAATAATAATAATAATAATAATAGGAGTATAATAACTGTCATTTACGATTTTCATCATTGTTTACTACAAGTTACCACCCACATACCATAGTTGGTAAAGTATGGTAATTTTTTATCCATTATTTTTTCACCAAGAAATTTATAGATCCAATAGATCATGATGAACTCGTTCCTTCTGAGCAAACGTTTTAAAAAACGACTTAAAAACGAAGAGGTTACCATATGGTATGTAGTTGGTAAAAAAAATTCTCGAAATATATTGAAAATTGATCTCATTTTGTAGAGCACAACGAACTCGTTCCATCTATGCAAAAAAAAATTGAAATCCGAGTTAGAACGAAGAAGATAAGAGCCGATTAAGAAAACTAGGGAAAATAAAATGTCTTTAATTGACAATCCTTATATCTAAATTTTCTGGACCCACTTAGATCTAAAGATCAGATTTAGTTACTCATAGGTCAGTAAGCAATGGTTACTGACCCTATCCTAAGCCCGCTATACGTAACCCCACTAGGAAAGTGCTTACCGATATTATTCAGGATCCGCAAGAAGTTGGTCCTTGGCAAGTGAGATCATGTTTCCAAAGGATTCGCTTTCTCCTTCAGGCGCATGTCAAATTGAATATTAACTTCACACCAAGATCAACTAACAAAAGTGCATATTGGGTGGCTAGGGAAGCGGCAATTGGATCTCTCTCTATAAAATGGATCCAGGTGCTTGATATTTTAAATATGAATTTGTAACTTGTCTTTGCTTGTGCTCTTATCGTTTATATGAATAGAAGTTATCGATTGTCCGCACACAAAAAATAGTTACCAGTTGAGCCACTCATGCTTACTCTAGCTTAGAATTATTAAAATTATGGTTATTTTAGTAAAAAATATTAAAATTATGATTAATCCTCTCTTTCAATAGGAATCAGAGAACGACACGGACCCGTTGCATCTCACCTTCAGAAAAACTTTTGAAAGTATCCATCAGCCAATTATTTTTCTTATATAAAATCCACACTTCTAAGCTTATTATTCATTTAGCAGTTATTTCATAAATAACCCCGACTTGAGAAGTATTCTTGATGGAGGACACAAACAGGAAGAAGGAGAGTAGTTTATGAGTTTTTCCTATTTTCTATTTTTCATTTGTTTTATTTTTCATTTTTCTCTTTACTTTAGTGTTATTCCTATCTTTAAATATGATTTTTTCCCCGTTGAATCAGTAGCTTTTATTGCAATAAAACACTGATACAACGAAGCATGGGTCATGCAGGCCCATGAAAAGGCACTACATCACACTGCCTACCCTGTCCTCTCTATCAAACTACTTACAGTGTAAAAACCAAACAAAGCTTATAAGTATCCAAGTCTCTCCAGCCCATCTCGCACTGCCATGTTCCCACATGTGAAAAATAAGAGTTCTGCTTTGATCACCTCTGCTATTTTACCTTGAGAACGAAGAGCAGATCCATGAACGAGCCCGCATCTTTCATTCCATATGACTGCAACCAGCACACACCATATAAGGGCATGCCATTTCCCTACCTGAAAGTTGCTACTGTCTTTACTGCTGACAGCATGTAACATTACTTCCCAATCATTGTGCCTCAGAAGCTGGCAATGTAGCTGACAAGCGAGCTGGTGTGAGTAAGAACACTAGATAAAGAGATGATCTCTTGTCTCTGTGTCCATCCCACAGAAAGGGCAGGATGCATCAATAATTTTGCCCCACTTCTTTAGCTTATCCCTTGTGACAATAGCTTTTTTAATGATAATCCATGCTAAGAAGCTATATCGAGGAGGACAAATCCCGTTCCAGATTTGCTTGTGCCAAGGAACCTTAGAAGCCTTCCTTCTCAACGTTTCCCAAACTCGCCTCACTGAATAAACCTGTATTTCCTCCGAATCCCAAAAGACAATATCATTTTGAACCTGAATCCAAGGCATTATAACAGTCCTCAGCTTCAGGATTCTTCGCCATGCCCAAGAGCTACTATATTGTACTCGCATATGATTTATTATTCATTAAGCGTATTCGTCGGTTATTTTACCAAACTTTAGGGCTCATTTTTCCAATAAGCAACATAAGAGAATGTTTTAGAGGTCTCTTTTACTTTTTTTATCATTTTGTTGTATTTAAACCAACATCAATTTGATTATGTAACATTAAGCGAAGGAAAAAGACAGAAATTTATTTTATTAATAGGGCAATATAAGTGCATCTTTTGTTTATTGGCCTTAAACGGATGTATAACCAGTTATTTCTTCTTTTTTTTTCATTTCGTACGTAGAGACTTGGGTTATAGGTATAATATGGCCCTCTACTATGACGTATTATCAAACATGCCCCTCTACTATTTTTTACATCAAACATGCCCCTGTAATTTGGAAAAATCTATCAAACATGCTCTTCAGTTGAAATTTCCAATGAAAAAATCATCAATCATGGTTGAACCGAGATTTAGACGACCTGATATCGATAAATGGGAGGGGAAATGTCAGTTTTGACCCTTGCTTTATTTCTCTAGGTCTCATCAAAGTGAAATTATTATAATTATTTGGCTATACAAAAGAACAAAAAACTCTAAAGTGAAATTATTAGAGATATTTTAGATATTTGGGTCACCCAAACCAAAGTTCGGTCTTGGTTAACGGTTTTTGGATGGAAATTTTAGCAAAATGGCATGTTTGATAAGTTTTCCAAAGTACAGAGGCATGTCTGATGTAAAAAATAATAATGTCATAGTAGAAGGGCATTTTATACCTACAACCCTAGAAACTTCGTAAATTTTCTACCTAATATTTTTGAACTCTAATAGTATGTACATTGTACTCTAATGATCAATAACATCTTTGGCCAACGAGTAAATTGCTATGAAATTCTCTCACAATATTTTGATTTTTTTTTTATTTTTTTTTATTTTGTAGTTATGTCTTGTGAGTTACATTATGCTAATTATTTTGCAAATAGTTATAAAGTTATCTTTTACTCGCCGGGAAGCGCAAGCGAGTGGGCTTATCTAGTGATATAAACAAACAACATTTTTACAAATACATCTCACCCCACGTAATAACATCCAATCAAAACACATAACACCATCTTAGAAACAAAGATTGTGAAACCGTATCAGACGTTGTACGAAAAACTAGTGGTAGGTGCATTTTATATTGAAACCATTGTTCAACCTTTTCATACTGCTAAAAACCGCCTACTAATAAAGTATTTTTTTACGGTCGAACAACCGATATGATATGGTTTCACAAACACTTCTAAAAATAGGCGCAATCACAACACTGATAATAGAGAGCCATTTTGGTGTTTAAAGAATAGTTATAACTTATAACCAAAAGGGCTAATACCACTAGGAAACCCGAACTATTAACTTTTTGTCATTTGTGTCCTAAAGTATCCGATATGACATTTGTGTCTTAAACTATTTGTCCGTTAGAGTTTACTGGCGTTGACCGTTAGTTTTTAACTGAAAATCTAGTCAGCCTGATGTGGCATCCGACGTGGAATTTTATTATTTATTTTTATCATAAAAAATATATAAACTAACAAAAAGAAAATTACAAAATACAAAATACAAAAATTAAATACAAAATAAATAACTTTTCGGGTCTTCTATCTCTCCTCCGTAGTCTTTGCCGCCCGGAACTCCTCCCGCTGCTTCTTCGTCTTCTCTCCTCCTTACTTTTGTCGCCATCCAAATCCAGTACGAATTGAAAGAACTCCTCCAGATTCGGCATCCCCAGCTCCGTCTGATTTGCCAGCATCCTAACCAGATTCGAGATTTCTTCTTTAGCAGCAGAGCAGAGGAGGGTGGGTTCCCCAGCTCCCGTTGAAGCCTCGTCGCCTCTGCAGATCCAATGAAACCAAATCCAACGAAAACCAGAAACCCAGATCAAATAAACCCAGAAATGGCGGAATGGAAATTAGATTTTCAGTGACGATTCGGAATGAGCTCGGCGTTCCTACTCTTGCGATGATTGTTCGTCGGTTTCTCTCTGCGTAGGCGAGCCAATTGAAGAGAGAGAGAGAGAGAGACGCACACAGCATGGAGATGGAGAGAGAGAGAGAGAGAGAGAGAGAGAGGGGATACAGACGAAGCAATAGATGGAATCATGGAAATGGAAGGGATACGAGCTTTCGCCTCCTCGTCGGCGATTTGGAAGGGTTTGAGCTCCAACCTAGTTCGGAATCGGCTTCGTTGCCACCGGTCACGGCAGACAGGAACCTCGTCACCGCCAATCGGCTTCTTCTTCCTCCTTCACCGCCAAATCTAATACGAGAGAGAGAGAGAGAGAGAGAGAGAGAGAGAGAGAGAGAGAGATGTGTGACAGGTTGCGGCGGAGTTAGGCCAGTCGAAGAACAAAGGCATAGATGAATCTTCTTCTCTGGTGGCGGGCTGGCTTTTGGTTTTACAGAGGATCGCTTATGGATATCTTAAAAGTTGCAGGGCAGGACATCCGGAAGAAATTTAAGGACGGTTACATCATCGGAGCCAACAAATCTACTCGAGATTCAGTTGACGGAGTGGGGATTGGTGATTTAAAACTTAGCCGGAGAGAGGAAGAGGAAGAAGCAGGGACGACTTTTTATTTTCTTAATTATTTTTTATTTTATAAATTATCTATTTTAATTTTTATTTATATTTAGTAAAAAAATATGATGTGTCAATGACGTGGCATCTATGTGGCTGCCACGTCAACAAAAGTCAATGTTAATGTTGACTTCCGTTTGGTCAACCGTTATTTATAATGGTCAACGAAATCATCAGGACATAAATGACACACAACTATCATATGTTGTGACACAAATGTCATATCGGATACTTTAGGACACAAATGACATAAAGTTAATAATTCGAGTTTACCCGTGGTATTAGCCCTAACAAAATTCCCCACAAATTAAATACTCTCATCCCCACGACATTTCCACAATTGCATAACACTCTTTCTCATGAACACACAATCGCACAACATCGCTATGTTTCGGCGCCAAGTTGCAGGGGTAGGAGTGGGACAATGCTTAATTATTTTGTTTATGAAGTCATGATTCGTTCATGGAAACAAATATAATTGCGCGTTGAATGAACATAGACACAAAGAGGAAGGTTCTCTCGTATATACATATGCGGCGGTGGGAATGGAAACACAATTTATTTATTATTACTACTATTATTCCTCCTGGAAGTGTATTTGGTTTTCTAAATCATTATACTAATCGATTCTACCTTTTTTGAAGAAGCTCCGATGCTTCGTTTATTCAGCTATCCACTTGCCCGTTTCAGAACTAGAAAACAGTATTATATTATACGATTGGCAATCATGCAGCATTTCCATATATGCCAGCCTTGTAATCGTCCTCTGCAGTGCCCGCCAGCTCCTGCTTCGCGCTTTCAACAGCTCCTTCTACTTACTCATATAAGACTCACTCACAGCATCGATCAAAGCATCAATCTACTCTAGCTTTTCCTTCTGTACGTCTCTCCAAATCAACATCCATCAGTACCAACTTGTTCATTAGTTTCTCCCCGAAATGGCGGCGTCTCTGTCTTTGGCGATACTAGTGCTGTTGGGCCATTTGATGGCCACATCAGAGGCCAATTTCCACCAGCATTTCGACGTGACATGGGGCCATCACCGCGCCCAGATCAAGGACGGCGGCCAGCTCCTGACGCTCTCACTGGAGAAGGATTCCGGAGCAGGGTTCCAGTCCAAGAACCAGTACCTCTTCGGCAGAATCGATATGCAGATCAAGCTTGTCGCTGGCAATTCTGCTGGCACCGTTACCACTTTTTATGTGAGTAATGATGCATGTTGATCGCTTCTAATTCGTGTGCATAGCTAGGTAATCATTTCCTATAAGTGGCCAGAAGATATAAACTTTTTTTTTTTTTGTCTTTTCTTTTCTTCCGCAGCTATCCTCCCAAGGACCAAACCACGATGAAATCGACTTCGAGTTTCTCGGAAATTCCTCTGGCAATCCTTATACTCTTCACACCAATGTTTTCAGCCAAGGAAAAGGAAACCGGGAACAACAATTTCATCTTTGGTTCGACCCAACCACTGGTTTCCACACCTACACCATCCTCTGGAATTCTCAGCGAATCATGTAAGTCATCATATCAATCATCTTTGGTTGGAGTACTGTGTATAATTTGTGGGACTCGAGGAATTGAACTTTGCCCATTGTGTACGTATCCGCAGATTCCTAGTGGACAACATACCCATAAGAGTGTTCACGAACATGGAATCACAGGGAGTTCCGTTCCCTAGTAAGCAGCCAATGAGCATTCACTCCAGCTTGTGGAATGCAGATGACTGGGCTACCCAAGGAGGGCGGGTGAAGGCTGATTGGACTAAGGCTCCTTTTGTGGCTTCTTACAAAAATTTCAAAGCAGAGGCGTGCATCAGGAACCCACCGGCCGCCTCCTCGACTTGTTCTCCGGGAGCTTGGCAAACTCAAGGATTGGACGCCGCTGGTCGGAACAGAATTCGGTGGGTGCAAAGCAAATATATGATCTATAACTACTGCACTGATCTCAAACGGTTCCCTCAGGGTGTTCCCTATGAATGCAAACAGTCTAGGTTCCTCTAAATTTGAGGTGCATGGAACAACAAATGGAGCCGACACAACAGATCAATTATATCCTCAATGCTTTCTTTATTGTAATAAATCCGCCACATTATCATGTGTATTTTTTCATTTATCTATAAAGAGATATAAATTTACATTTTCTACTAACCAGTAACCAGTCCATCATTTTTATTATCGACACAACAGATGATTTTTATTATCTTCACTTCTTAGAACGTCTTCAGTGATTATTGATTTGCCCATTTTAAAGAAGTATACAATAAAGTTATCCATGTAATAATCATTTCTCAAAATCCACTCACTACTGTAAAAAGAAAAACTATATTTCAGAAAATAAATTCGAACAAGTTTGAGGAAGATTTTAGCAAAACAACCACTTCGCCTCCCGCCGGCCGCAACCAGCCGTAATGGATTAGTCACCGGCTGACGGAGTGTTGAACTGAGAAAGGTGACTCATAATTGGCAAACGCAGGGCCTTGACTGCTGTTGCGAAAGTTAACCGTTATATACCACAAATTACACTGATCAGAAAACGGACAAATCAGAGATCGATCCCCTGCATCAGCAAACCATTACCGCCGATCCCCTGCATCGGCAAACCTAAGTTAGCAATCCTCTGTCTGCACTAAATGCCACAAAAACTTTCCCAATCATCCCTGTGCATCGTCACTTCGCCTTGGTTCCCGATTTACAACATAAAACCCTACCTACGCCCTCATCTTCTTCACTATAGATGACTACTCAAAAAGAGACCGGTATCCTATGGAGTAGGAGTAATTCCTCTTCCCTATTGCGACCAATAATCAGTCTTGCAAACCTATCTAAAGTAAACAACCCTTCGGTTTGTTCTGACTTCAAATAAAGCTTCACCTTGAAAGGAAAGGGATAGGGCATTACGTTCACTTCTGTCAACTTCATGCACTCATGATCACCTTTGCTGCAATTGATGATATTTAAGAAAATGAGACACGTTAATAGAACTGAAATCGCCATGATAAAATTTATTCTAGCTAAAGCTATGGTATTATGAGACTAGGGGAATTTGATTGTTTCGATCTTAAAGCTGAAGTGGCTGGCTGCTGAATAAAACTATTGCATACAACAAGTTAATCACCAGATAGGGGTTTGTGTCCCACTACTCCATTAGGGGTTGGGGTTCCATTTTCGAGTACAACTAATGATGAAACATTGGATGATGGTAATAAATAACAACCAAAAAAAATTGGAACAGGAATCCAATATAGAGCTTACCGGACAACACCGACGACACCAGGCATTCCTGTACAAAGAGGACCAAGAAAAGGATCAAACAGGTCAAGCAGTATTAGTTACAATATAAACTGATTAGTTAATTAAGCAGAGCAGAGCAGCTTAACAAACTTCACACACTATTCACTAAAAAGTTAAACAAACCTATAAGCTTGTCCACTAGCTCGTCTTCCATATCCAGTCCGAAAACAAAGACCTGGTCCCAACCATAAATGGCCAACTCCTGTTTTACCTTCGGCTTCGCTCCCTTCTCCCTTCTTACTCTAACCAGCAGATTAAGAAACAAGTAGTAAATAAACGACACATGCATGCACAAGCATAACCACAACCAAACCCTGTCAAATGTAATGACACAAGACAGATTAATATGAAGTCTACCTATAGGATAAAACAGGGGCCAACGTCTCAAGGGAGTATTCCATCATTTCCCTATCCGTGGTGAGCACCCTGTCACGTGGCTTTTCCTTAAAAATCATCCAGTGATTCAGTTTTTTCTGATTACCGATAACATCAGAGAATGAGGAAGGGAATTGAGGCAGAGGCTCGTAGTCCGCCATCTCTTCATCAGAACAAGAGTCATCTTCCGACAATTCAAAGAAGCAGGTTGCAGAATGGGTCCGGGGCGATTGAATGACCTCGACGACACCAGGCATTCCTGGTTCAAAAAGAATATAAGAATTGAGTTCACAGCTTAATCATAACTAAACCAAGTGGCAGCAGCAGAACAACTTTCAATGAATATCAATGCAATTACTAAACCACTAGACAAACAAACCTTTCAGCTTTTTCGCAGTCTCCTCATGGATCTCGCATCCAAAGGCAACCTCATCTTCGTTGATTAAAATTTCTAAGCTGTACTTGTTCAGGAGGCTGATTCGACCAACAAAGTAAACCAGTAGTTGATGCTAAACTATAGAGATTAAGCACCTGTCAAGAATCGGGACCAACTTCTTCATGGAGAAGTCCACACTTTGCTGCTCGGTGAGTTCCTCGCCAGAGGGCTGACCCATACTAATGATCCAGTTAGGAACCTGCCGTTTATTGTCGAAGCAAGAGTCGGCCGTCAAGTGAGAATGGTCAGCACGACCACTGGCAGGCTCGCTGTTGCACTGAATGACATCGGCAACCTCAGGCATTCCTGGTTTAAAAGCAATGAATGGCTTGATTTCAAAGTTCAAATAATCGCACGGCAAACTAATTACTCAAACAGACTTTAGGAAAAACCTTTAAGTTTTTTTGCCATCTCTGTGTCGATCTTGCAACCAAACGCAGCCTGATCCCCGCAAACATAAAAATCTACCAAGTATGTCTTCTTCTTCTTAGCTCCCCGGATCCTGAAACACTATATGCGATCAAACCGACAAAAAAAAAAAAGTGCAAGCAACTAACTATACATTGATGCAAAAGAATAGATATAACAGACACACATTGGTTAAATGATCAAAACTGGAACTGAGGCTTTAGCAACTCGTACAAATCTGTTCATTTTAACTACCATACACAAGCTACAATCTCTCTCCGGACTCAGGGCATGGCAAGTTTTGTGGACACCATATCGTACTAGTCCGATTCTCACAAGGACGAGTACCCAACCCATGCCTACGTATATAAGCTACAAAAATTAGTACGGAATCAAAGAGAATTCAACTGTAAACCCGCAAAATTAGAGAGATTGTTAAGCGTTCTACCTGTGAAGGATGTCGCACATCTTCTCAAGGGAGTCTCGGAAGAATGTCGTCTGGGTGGGTTGTTGGTAGCCAGGATATCGCTTACCCATAACAACGAGGCAGTACTGGAGCTGCTGCTGCTGCTCGTTGTCGCTGCAGCCAGCTCCGGCAGATCGTGCCGCCGTCTCTTCTGCTCCCTCAGTCCCGACATCAGCTCGGTCCGTGTGATGCCAACGAATCGCGGTGCACCAGGTGGGGGAAGATGCTCCGGAGCGGAATTGAGGATGGGAGAGCGGGTAAACTAGCGTATGGCGGCGGAGAAGATGGGTAGCAGCTGGAGGTGAAGGAGTTAGGCGACTGTTGGCGGCGGAGAAGTGGGTACGTTATCGGAGGATGTCAACATCCTGTTGCTGAATCCTTGGGAAGAAAGGATTGAGAAGATGAAGCCCGAGAATGAAGTGAAGGGAAGACGGTGACGTTTTAATGGAAAGGCTTCAGCATTAGACAAAACGCAGTCGTGTGGTTTTAGTTGTGCTAGCCGTTAATCAACAGTAATTTCAGTTTTGTAATTGCCAGTGTTTCTGTGACACGTGGCTAAGTTTGTTTAGTGACTTTAAACTTGATTATGCCGTTATATAAAAACAGAGAACAACAGCCCCTTCTTCCTTAAGGGTCTGCCTTCACAAAACCTACTTTCTCTCTACTCCTACAAAGTTCTTATGGTATCAGAGCGGTAACAATCTAGGGCAAGCACAATGTCGACCGGCACACCACCTCACACGCCGCCCCATGGACGAGGAAATGGATCTGGAGGAGGAAATGGGTCCAGTGGTTCAACGGCGACCAATTTCCAGTTTGGAAGCCTTGATGCTCATCAGCTGAACACAGGACAACCAAGGTCTGAGGTAATTACCTTTGGGAATCCATTCTATCTGAATCCAAACGAAGCCCTCAACCAGTCTATTGGGTCGGAGGTGTTTGATGGCACTAATTATACGATGTGGAGTAGATCTGTAGTGATGGGTTTGAAGATGAAACACAAAATGGGTTTCATCGATGGTAGTATACCTATGCCTCCTGTGAATGATGATAAGTATCTGTTATGGGATGGTTGTAATACTGCTGTTTTATCTTGGATTCTCAACTCTTTGCACAAGGATTTGAGAAGATCTGTTATGAATCATGTGAATGCGAAAGTCTTGTGGGATGATCTGAAACGCAGGTTTGGCAAGCCAAATGCTGAGAGGATAATCAATCTAGAAGATGAAATCCAACGTTGCAAGCAGGGTAATAAGTCTATAAATGACTATTACACAAACATCAAAGGTCTCTGGGAGGAGTATCTGCTGTTCAGTCCAATTGTACCCTGCAATTGTGCACCTGGGAATGCAAACCCTTGTGATGCTGTCACTGCTTATACAGAAAGGCAGGAAACTGATTACTTAATTCGGTTTCTCAGAGGTCTTAACACAGACTTCGAAGTGGTGAAAACCCAAATCCTGATGCAGAAACCACTACCCAGTGTTTCTGAAGCTGTGGATGACCTGTTGCAGCATGAACAGAAGTTGAAAGGTGAAAGTTCTGGCAAGAGATCTCAGACTGTTGCGTTGGCAGTGAACACAGACACACAGTCCACCCAACGTAACCAAGAGAAGCGTTATTGTGTCTATTGCAAGAAGACTAATCACACAGTTGATGAATGCTGGAGGAAGAAAAGGAGAGATAAGGAACTGGCAGGAGGAAACAAGTCAAGTGGTTCACAGAGTAGCACACCTCGGTTTGCAGGTTCAGTGTCTCAAGGAAGTTCTGGAGAATCACACACTGAAGGAAGTGTGAGTGGTGATGCCTCTGGTGGTAGCCCAGTAAGTGTTGCTAATTCTGTTGTTGGCTTTACTCCTGAGGAGATGAACAGATTGAGGCAAATGATGCAATCTAGTGCTGGCACAACACCCTCACCACCACTTTCCCCTTCCATTACACATAATGCTTACTCTGTATCCCAATACATGACACCATTCCCCAACTATTCAGGTAAATATGTCCTGTCTACCTATAGTGAATCCAAGCCTACCAATTTAGTTCATTTTTGGATTCTTGATACAGGAGCTTCTGACCATATCTCCTGTTCCTTAGCACTGTTTGTTGAGCATAAGTCAGTTCAAAACACTTATGTTCATCTTCCTAATAGTGCTAAGGTTCATGTTACACATATAGGGACAGTCAAATTACCTTCTGTCCTTTACCTGTATAATGTTCTCCTTGTCCCTAGTTTTTCTTTCAACCTTGTGTCAGTTAGTAAACTTATCAAAGATTTTCCCCTAGCCTTACACTTTCACTCTGATTTATGCCAAATCCAGGACCTACTCAGCAGGAGGATGATTGGTTTGGCAAGAGAGTCTAGAGGCCTTTACCAACTCACCTTCCAATCATCACCAACACCAGCCAACCTCCCAACACCACCACAAGCAGCTGCAACCCTCAACTTTAGTACTCAGCAATTTGACCTTTGGCACTGGAGATTAGGCCATCCCAGTAGTGATAGGATTTCCTTGTTACAGCAAACTGATTCCACTGTAACTAGTACTAAAGTTTCTCATTGTGATGTTTGCCATTATTCCAAACACAAACGTTTACCCTTTCCTGTCAGCACTAGTCATTCACATGATTTATTCCAATTGATCCATGTAGACATTTGGGGGCCACTTTCTGTTCATTCCTATGATGGATTTGCTTACTTTCTTACTGTGGTTGATGATTATTCTAGAGCAGTATGGGTGTTTTTAATGAAACACAAAAGTGAAACCAGGGAACTCTTAAAAGGCTTCTGTCATTTGGTGCATAATCAGTTTAGGAAATCAGTGAAAACAGTTCGTAGTGATCAAGGGAAAGAGTTCAACATGTGTGATTTTTACTTGGAACATGGCATTGAACATCAAATGTCTTGTGTTGAGACTCCTGAGCAGAATGCTAGGGTAGAAAGGAAGCATCAACACATTTTAAATGTGGCTCGTTCTTTAAGGTTTCAGTCTGGGCTACCCCTACATTACTGGAGTGATTGTGTTCTTCACTCAGTTTACCTTATCAACAGACTCCCTACACCAGTTTTACACAACAAATCTCCCTATGAAATGCTATACAACAAACCTCCCTTCCTTGGCCCCTTAAGAGTTTTTGGGAGCCTCTGCTATGCAAGCACTCTTACTCATGGCAGAACTAAATTTGCAGCAAGGGCCAAGCAATGTGTGCTGTTAGGCTTTCCTCAGGGCATCAAAGGTTACAAACTATTATCTCTGGATGACCATCGTGTTTTTGTTTCCAGAGATGTAGTATTCCATGAGTCCATTTTGCCTTTCAGAAACATGATACCAGCCTCTGAGTCCTCACCTGCTATACCCTCTTCTTCTTCTCCTTCTTCTTCTGCTCCACCTATCCAAATCCCTATTTCGCATCCCTCACCTTCTGCTGATGGGGGGGTAACCTCACCTCAGTCTGCTTCTCACATTCAACCTTCTCCTTCTTCTTCACCTCAGGATCCTGGATCACCAGTTTATGTTGAACATGATTCTGAATTGGAACCTCAAGCTGATTTTAATCCACCAGCCAGACCTTCTCGCACTCACAAACTTCCTGCCAAGTTGCAAGACTGTGAATTAGACACAAGACTGAAGTTTGGTGCATTTGGCACAGCTGCAGCAGCCACCAAGTATCCTATATGCTTGGAAGTAGACCATCTTAGCATAGAAGATAGAAAATATGCTTTGAGTGTAATCACACAGATGGAACCAATCAGCTATGAAGAAGCAGTAAAGCATGTTGAATGGAAAAGAGCAATTGATGAGGAGTTGGCAGCACTGGTAGAAAACCAGACATGGGATGTTGTTTCACTGCCACAGAACAAAAGAGCAATTGGGTATAAGTGGGTGTTCAAAGTAAAAGTGAGACCTGATGGAACCATAGAAAGATATAAAGCCAGATTGGTGGCAAAAGGCTTTACACAGGTCTATGGCATAGACTTCTTGGACACCTACTCCCCTGTGGCAAAGATAAACACTGTTAAAGCTTTATTGGCAGTGGCAGCAGTGAAGAACTGGAGTCTTGAACAGATGGATGTTTCAAATGCCTTCTTGCAAGGTGATTTGACTGAAGAAGTGTACATGAAAGTACCATTGGGAGTTGAACTTCCACCATCTTGTTCAGGACAGGTAGCTTGTCGTTTGAAAAAGTCCTTGTATGGCTTGAAACAAGCCTCTAGGCAATGGTTTGCTAAGTTAACCAACTTCCTACTCAGGAGTGGTTTTTCACAGTCAAGTTCAGACTACTCTATGTTTACCAAGTGGATTCGAGGAAGGAATGTAGTAGTGCTAGTGTATGTAGATGACATAATAGTGGCTGGAGATGCACCTAAGGATATTGAGCAGGTCAAAAAGGCTTTAAGTAAGGAGTTTAAGATCAAGCTCTTAGGTCCTTTGAAGTATTTCTTGGGATGGGAGGTGACAAGGAATGATGAAGGGTTATCTGTTTGTCAGAGGAAATACTGCTTGGATCTATTGGAAGAAACAGGATACCTGGAAGCTAAGGGAACTGTGATACCAACAGATACCAAGACCAAATTGACAGCAGAACAAGGAACAAGAATGAATGATCCTGAATCATATAGAAGGCTGATTGGGAGGTTGCATTATATAACCATCACCAGGCCTGATCTAACCTATGCAGTGCAGCAATTGTGCCAATTCCAGAAAGATCCCCACACAGAACATCTACAAGCAGCCTACAAAGTTTTAAGGTATCTGAAGAATTCACCTGGACAGGGAATACATTTCAGTAGTCAAGCAGAACTTAAGTTGACAGGCTACTGTGATTCGGATTGGGCGAGTTGTCCTGATACCAGGAGATCAACTACAGTCTACAGGTTACTGCACTTTCCTAGGAAGTTCATTACTGACTTGGAAGACAAAGAAGCAGACAACTGTCTCAAGATCATCATCAGAAGCTGAATATAGAGCTTTGGCTCTATTGGTATGTGAGGTGCAATGGGTGAGAACACTCCTAGCTGAATTGAGTGTGCAGGTTCCACTGCCTATATCTATATTCTGTGATAATCGTTCAGCAATACATATTGTTGAGAATCCAGTGTTCCATGAGAGAACCAAACATATAGAAATAGATATGCATGTGACAAGGGAGAGGATCAAATCTGGTTTTATAAAGCTGCATCATGTTGGAACTTTGAATCAACTTGCAGATCTGTTTACTAAGCCTTTGGACAGCACACGACTGAAGGAGTTGCTTGTCAAGTTGGGAATCAAAATGGCATCCACAACTTGAAGGGGGGTGTCAACATCCTGTTGCTGAATCCTTGGGAAGAAAGGATTGAGAAGATGAAGCCCGAGAATGAAGTGAAGGGAAGACGGTGACGTTTTAATGGAAAGGCTTCAGCATTAGACAAAACGCAGTCGTGTGGTTTTAGTTGTGCTAGCCGTTAATCAACAGTAATTTCAGTTTTGTAATTGCCAGTGTTTCTGTGACACGTGGCTAAGTTTGTTTAGTGACTTTAAACTTGATTATGCCGTTATATAAAAACAGAGAACAACAGCCCCTTCTTCCTTAAGGGTCTGCCTTCACAAAACCTACTTTCTCTCTACTCTTACAAAGTTCTTAGAGGAAGAAGCTGGAGCTGGTGAGACGGCGAGAAATGTTGAAAAAACGGGCTAGGGTTTGCGCCTTGGCTGGGAGAGCAACTGCAATTGCAAGGACGGTGAGACTTTGAGAGTTGAGAGGTGAGAGTGAG